AATGTTTTGTAAAAATGTATTAAACACATTTTAGAATCATATTATATTTGATTTAATCTTATCTCATTTAGAATAGTTTTTTAGAATATCATATTTCAAATAATTTACCTTAAACTTTAAAGTAAATAAGAGTAAGGTAATGTTTGGGGATTGGGTATAGTCTTAAGATTGGACTATTTTATTCCCGATCTTATGTCTGATGGCTTTCAACAAATTGAATTAATAATCCCAAATTAATTATGTACATGTGGGATTACACAATTGGAATAAAAAACTCTTAAATAAAATATTCATAACTTAAAATTGTTATTTGTAATTATTCTAACGTAAATAAAATATATTTTCCATTTTATTTAAGTATGGTTTCTAAATTTAATTGTAAATAAAGTTAAAACACTAATTATTAATAAAGGATAAAAAGTTGTTGGCATTCAATTATTCCACTGTTGATTGAGACTCTATTCAATTTAATAAGAATAAAATTCTTAGTGGTGAGCTAGCACTGTCCTAGGGTGGGCCATCTAAAATTATATATTCAAATATAATATAATGAAAGAGAGTAATTTATATTTAATGAGATTTTTATAATTTTAACACATGTATTTAACAAAGAGGACTATTGAGATAGAAAGTACATGACCGAATAAAATTCCACCTTTATTTTAGGCTTTGCATTTTAACTCATGCAACCAAAGAAAATGTATGTGACCAATATGTCTTATCTTGTAATCGACATGTCCTAAGTTGGGATAGGTAATATAATTAGACGATTAATTTTTTAAACATATTTATTAAGAGTTTTAAAATTATTTTATTTTTCTAATTCTCATGTATCATTTATTTCAAATTTACATTATTATTATTTTTACCTTATGAAGTCAATTCTTAGTTTGTGGCTATAATACTCGAGTGTTAAAATAGAAACAAACAAGATGAAACATAAAGAAAATATACAGCCACACGACGATAGTGCACCGAATTGATCACCAAATGACTTGGCAATTCTGACCGTTGATTAATTTTTAACTTAATATTAATCAACGGTCAAATTTTGTCACGTCATTCGGTACATAATTTGGTACACTACTTTAGTGACTGTAACATTACTCTATAATAAACCCAAAAATATAAAAATTAATCTTCTTCAACAATAAACACAACTCATGTTTTAATCATGTAGTTGTACTCATATTTTATTCATGTAGCAGTTCTCCTCTCACATGTGTATTCTTCTTTTCATATGTGTATACAATAGGTGGGACCAGAAATTTTTTATGGGGAAAATTGCAATATCAATGAGTTGTAGGGCCAGAAAAAATGGTTGCATTTACTAGCTAAAGTTTATATTCAAAAATGAGGGTGTTCCTTATAAATTTTAAAATTTTTGTGAGACTCCATTAATTGACGAACATAAACAAACTTTCGAAAAGTAGCTCCTAGTATCTGACCTTGTTTCTAGCCTCAAATATTGGGAACACTGTTGTTAATTTTTTATAAGAATTTAAATTGAATTAGTTAATATCTTTTTATGATTTTGATCGTAGTTAAACTCGTCAAACTAAATCTCCGAAGCTCAACTGTCTAATAACATTAAGATTCATTTCTTCACTTAAATTTGACAATGCAACCAATTTACATAGAATAAGCTTATGATTTCATTTTGTTTTAATCATAACTTAAAATTAAAAGCTCAAACCTCATTACGTTATTTTATGATTTTGACAATCAATTTAGAAACCTTCTATTACGAAGTTAAAGAGAGATTCTTCTTTTGCCCATACAAGATACTATTGTCAAAATATGTATTGATATATCGTTCTATTCTCTGTCTTTTAATAAAAGACTAGACTATTAATATTTTGCGTAATTTAAATGACAAATTTACAAGATCTGATATTTATTTGTTTAATTTGTCAAGATATATTTTCCTCTAAATAAACTCCAACAATATATATATATATATATATATATATATATAATAATATATAATATATATAGGAAAGACTTGCCTACTAAGTCATCACATTAAAGGATAAAAAGTTGTCAGCCATTCAATTTATTCCGTTGTTTGATTGAGATTCCATTCAATTTAAACCAAAATAATAATTCTCAGTAGTGGAGCCACCACTGGCCTAGGGTGGGCCATGCCTGTTGGAGTTGTCGACTACTTCAGCATTATGGGTAACAAACGCACTCGGGGGTCCCTCGGACCGGTCAGCGGCGGGTGCCCCGCTCCCCGGTGAGCGCGGGGGTCGCGGGGGCACGCCCCCGAGCCCGTAGGCGGTTCTGGGCTTTTCCATGTATAACCGCTGTAGGATTCCTTTTAAGTTATTAATTCCTTTTTGGGTTGGGCTTAGGAATAGGAATTCTTGTAAAACTAGGTTTAATCTCTTAAACCTAGTATATAAACATTCTTTTCTCTTGTTGTGTGTGAGAGCATTCATTCATTGTAAACGAGAGAGGTGAGGCATATTTCAATAATATTGACTCAGCTGGCGCTAGCCCACATTGGGTGAACCAGGTAAATCGCGCGTATAATTTCTTGTTTACTGTTTGTTTTGTTTTACTATTATATTTTGTTCCAGTTGCTTCTCTATTTCGTTCAATGCCCTTCCTGAAATTTTCAAAGAATCTACAAGGTTTTTTAAATTTGCAATTACACCCTTAGTCAATTTATATATTTCTAAATTACTAATCCAATCATCAAACCCAAAAACAAGATAAATGCAATATTTAGATTATAAATAAATAAGGTCCATGTCATACGAATTTAATTGAATTCGTTATGTGTAAAAAATATAAGTTTATATTTTTCCCTAAACTTGATGATTTTGTTTTTAATGTAGGAAAATATCTTGTTACCATAGAGTTCCTCTTCTAATTGATTTGTTTAATTTAGATTACTTTTAGAAAATCAGTGTATTATCTGGGTTCGTTATGTAATTTGATTTCTTTTATTTAATTTTTTTTAATAATACTGACAATAATCAATTTAAAACATCAAATTTCATTGAGGTTATTGTTATTGTGTGAATAGTTATTAAAATTTCAATATTTTATTATATGTTAAAAGTTTATTAAAAAGTTGTTTTTCTCAGATCTATCATGGCATCCATGCTTGTGTGAGGCCATAAAGATACCAGATCTGGCCGTCATTTGGGCCATGTCGACGGTATATTTGGATGGCCATATGGGCCATGCCGGCAACTAAATCCTACTGCTCTGGTGATGGCCATGACCACCACGAGTCCACAACAACTTCCAATTTTTCTTTTTTTAGTTTTTTATTTGTTCTATTTTAATTGTTAAACCTTAGTTGTCATGTTAAGCAGCTTCCTTAATGAGTAAAATATTACAAATTGATGTTAAAAAAAAATTGTTTGGTGAGATCCATGGGTGTGATGATATACGGGTTTGCGTGTGGCTTTCTCAATGGTATATGGTGGGATTTTGTGGTGGTGAAAAAGCTGTTTTAATTGAAAATTCTAAGATGGATGATGAAAGAATTTGTGTTGAGTTTACTGATTTAAATGGCGGGTTTGGATGGAAGGAGAATGGGAGATTTTGAATTTAATAATTTAATTTGATTTTAAGATTATTGCGTAAGGGAATAATTTTAAAGTTTTTTTTAGGTAAAATAAAATTTGATAAATTTTCTGAAATTTGATAACATTTAAAAGGTTTGGGATAATATTAGATTCTTAGTTTTAGTTCAAGGGTAAAATGTTTTTAATAGTTGAACAAAAATTTATTTCAAAAACCAACGGTGCTTAGATAATTATACAAACACATGGGGGTTGGAAATATTTCCTTTTATTAAAAATTAGAGGATAAAAATTGTTGGCCGTTCAATTATTCCATTATTTTATTGAAATTATTAAATTGATGAGTGATAGTCAGAAGTCTTTAGTCGAGCTTTTAATTTTATGGTAAACTAAAAGAACAAAAAGGTTGGGCCATCGATTGATTGAGATTGTTAAGACCAAAATAGTAATTGACTGTAATTTTAATATCAATTATAAATAAACAATATAAGGATTAAAAGATTACTAGAGTTATCTTATAAATAAATTAATGTTTTAATGTCAAGTAATTAATTCCTGCATGTGTGTGAGTGAGTGCATATATATTCCAATAAATTGATTTAAATCATTAATTACTGCCATATCATCATCAGTAATCCTTTTTTATATAATTTTTAAAAGCCTAATAATTTCTATTAATATTTTGGCAAATTAGTTAAGAAAAAAACAAACTAAAATTATTGGTCATCCCATTTTCCACACTTTATTGATGTTGTCATGACTAAAAAAAAAAAAAAAAAAAGTATTATTGGCCGCTAATTGATTGAGATTGCTACGACCATATTAATAGTTTTATTGGCCGGCTAATTTACTCCATTAGTTTATAAGATTGTCATGCTAAAAACACACAAAGTATTATTGGTTAAAAATAAAAAAATTAATCGTTTTTGCTAATATTCTTAATAAATCATGTGATTTGACCTTTCAAGTTTGGGTAAACTAAACAAACAAAACTATTGACCCATTATGATTGAGATTGCTAAGACCATATTATAGTATTATTGGCCGGCTAATTTACTCCATTAGTTTATTGAGATTGTCATGACTAAAAACCAACAAAGTTGATGAGATTTCAAATTTAGTTCTATTAATCAACACAAAAAGGGAATAGAAAAACTTAAAGCAGTGAACAAGCAATTGATAGGTTTTTAGAGAGAGAATTGTTACAATGGAAAGAGTGTTATAAGTTTCATTTTGGGTTGTATTAGTTTTGGTTCAAACATCTAGATTCATAGTTCTTTGGAAAATGAGAGGTTAGTCTGTTAGATTTAAAGTCCTTCATAAAAGAAGTCAGTGATTTTCAAACGGAAAAAATTCTTGTTTCATGGGTTATGATAAAATGTCTAATTATTGTGACTGGGAGAGAGTTCAATGCGCTTTTAATTAACTCTAAATCTCTTTTATTGTTTGGCACAGGTTTAGCAAATTTGACAAACCTAAAAGTATTAAATCTCAGTTGGAATCGAATCAACAACTCTCTATCAAGCCTAGGTATGCAATATCTATTAAATTTTTGAAACACTCTTTGCAATATGACAACTTATGAATAAAAATTAAAAATGAAATTTTCAATTTAAAATCTAATGGTTTCTCTTGGAACAGGATTAAAAATGTTGAGAAACGTGGAATGGTTGAATTTGAGTGGTACTCGAATGAGCGGCTCTCTAACATTGCTAGGTAACAATAACTACAACCATCAAAATATTAAGTTACAATCATCTTCTCAAATTGCTTCAATAATTATATTTAGATATTACCTTAATTTTTTAATTTTTTTTCTTCTGTAGTTTCTACCTACATTTCAAATTCTATTTCTTCTCTAGTTTTGCTTTTGTTTTTATTTGTGCAGGTTTAGCAAATTTGACAAACTTGAAAAGCTTGGATCTAAGTAATAATCAAATTAGCACTTCTCTAGCAAGTTTAGGTATGCTATACATATCACACTTGAAAAAAAGTATAATTAGAAGTACTCTTGCATAAAATTAAAAATTAAATAGATAACATTACAAACATATCAGTTAATTTATTTAAAAGATTTTATATAAGTAGTTTAGTAGTATGGTACTACTATACAAAGATTGAAATATTATCGTTCGCATGATTACTTCACTGTCTTATTTTCTCATCCCACTGTCTCTTGGTGCAGGTTTACAAAATCTAAAAAACTTGGAAGAGTTGAATATGCTAAATAATGGAATGAGCGGTTCTCTTACTTCGCTTGGTAACATTAATGACAACCAATATTTGTCAAAGTTTTAGATCAAAATTTTAAAGTTACAATCATTTGGTATCAATTATTTTAATAATTTTATCCATTGCTTTAACACTTTGAAACCCTTAATTTAACAACCTTGGAGATATTGGATCTAAGATATAATAGCATAAGCAGCGATCTAACAAAATCGTGCTTTGTATATTTCATAACATGTACTTTGATGGTTTGTTTTTTGGATCAATAGATTTTTTTTTTTTTTAAGAAAATGTGAGGAAATATGGAAAAATATTTCCTCACATTTTCCTAGATTCTCTTCTAAGTGATTAAAATTTCGAGTTTGATAGCATATAATAATTTACAATTTTTATATAATGACATGATTGATATATGTAGTGACAAATCGGAAGATAATATATACTAATATTATAGTTAAAATTCTAAATGTTNCCTGCATTTCAGTTGAAGGCCCTCAGGTTAACTCATTGCAACTTAAATGCTATCCCTAGTTTTCTTCTATACCAATATGACTTATTATCCGTTGACCTCTCTCATAATAAGTTGGTTGGTACATTTCCATCTTGGTTGTTAGTAAATAACACAAACTTGAGAGGAATGCTTTTGGTGAACAACTCATTCTCAGGAACTCTTAAACTGCCAAACACCAAACATGATTCCATTACCCTTTTTGATATTTCTCACAACAATTTCAATGGTCCACTCCCTAAGAATATATCAATGGGTGAAATTACAAGGATGGATTTGTCCAACAACCATTTTTCAGGAGAGTTACCATCTGATTTTCTAACTGGTTGCTTCTCATTGGAATTTTTGAACTTGTCAAACAACAATTTTAATGGGCAAATATTTCCTCAATATATGAACATGCCTGACTTGAGGTACATATATTTGAACAATAACAACTTCAGTGGAAAAATCGGAAAAGGATTACAAAATTTTACATATTTAGAAGCCTTAGATATCTCCAACAACAAGGTATCTGGTCAAGTTCCCAATTGGATAGGAAACTTTTCAAACCTCCAGTTTCTTCTAATGTCAAAAAACCTTCTAGAAGGAAATATTCCTGTTCAATTAAGCAAGTTGTCATTCCTTATCATTTTAGATGTCTCTGAAAATAAGTTGACCGGGCCCATTACATCTTTTTCTAATTTTTCATCTATCCAAGAGTTGTTCATGCAGAAGAATGCTTTCACAGGGCCAATTCCAAAGTCACTTTTTAGAAGCTCTAAATTATTGATGCTCAATTTGAGGGACAACCAATTTTCAGGAAGTATTCCTAATTTGATCATTAAGCATTCAAGTTTACGTGTTCTTCTTTTGGGAGGCAATCACTTGCAAGGTCCTATACCTAGTCAGTTATGTGAATTAAGAAGCCTGAGCATCTTAGATCTTTCCAATAATAGACTTAATGGATCAATACCTTCATGCTTTAGTAGGATGATATTTTGGATAGGACAAAGTGATATTCATAATGAGTATAGGTCAATTGGTTTGGCACCTGGGCTACTGTATATGAATTATGATTCATATCACTACAATTCCATTTTGTCATTGAGTTTGACTGAAGATGTTTTTCCATATTCATATCATTCCTTTGAAGTGAATTTTTTGACAAAGAATAGGTACGATTCTTACAAGGGTGACATTCTTAACTTTATGAGTGGAATGGATTTGTCAAACAATGACTTATTTGGAGATATCCCTTCAGAAATCGGAGACCTTCAAGGAATCAAAGCATTGAATTTGTCCAATAATTTATTGTCAAGATCCATACCAAAGAGTTTTTCCAAACTTAAGAATATAGAAAGCTTAGATCTTTCCCATAATAAATTAAGCGGCCAAATTCCTCGACAATTGACCGAGTTAACCCAGTTAGCTGTCTTCAATGTGTCGTACAACAACTTGTCTGGGTTGACTCCTAATGAACGTCAGTTTGCTACCTTTGATCAAAGCAGTTATATAGGTAATTCTGATCTATGTGTTACCCTAATCAATAAGAGCTGCACCAGTGTGCCAACTCCACCCTTGTTACCATCCAATGGAGAAGAAGGAGAAGAATCTGCAATTGACATGGTGGCATTTTATTGGAGTTTTTTTGGATCATATGTCACTATCATATTGGGGTTATTGGTGATTCTTTGGATCAACTCACATTGGCGTATGCTATGGTTTTATTTTATTGGTGAATGCATTGATTTTTGCTTTTATTGGCTTTCAAAATATGTATCATGCTAGGCCACTATAGAGTAACTTGAATAATCTTTTTACCTTTGGCTACTGTGACATTTTGTTCTGTTGTATTTGGTGCGTTCAATAATTTCTATAAAACTAGCTACATAATTTCTTCAGTTCAAGTTGTTTCCTTGAATTTGGTTTATATTGTTTTCTCATAAATAAGGTGCGTATACATGCTGATTTAGCTTGTTGCTTTCTATTAAACAATAATGTTTTTCATTATTATTATTATTATTTTTCACTTATTCTCATGAAGATTTTCCAATGATTTAAAGGATTCATGTTATAATTCAATGCAATGAAGGATGCCTGATTTAACAATAAAGAAGGAACAATTAGTTCTATTAATATTGGAAGAAGAAGACAGCTTGTAAATTATTATTATAATAATATTACTTTTTTAATGTTGGTGAAAATTTGTTATTCTAGCTGTCATCCGATAGATTCATCTAACATTTCTGAAGGTGATTAAGCCATCATCAGAGATACAAGCTAAAGAAAGGATTGTAAGAGATGTTTGGCAAGTAAGAAAATAAAAAGGAAAGTTGAGAGAAAATCGGTCTACTTATGTTAGTAGTAAAAATATGCCTTTACATTTGAGGGTATGCCCCTTTATATAGGGCACGAAAAATATCATATTATACAATCTGAACATTAACACAAATTTGTTTTTCTTCATATGAGGCAGCAGAAGAGTAATAAATAACTTCTCACTGAAATACATACTTGTGCAGGAAACAAAGTCAGTATTAAAATTAGATTTGTATGATGCTATTAGCCCATCAATTAATCTGTCTAGTACAAATTAGATATACCAACCATCTTGACAGATAACTACCAAACAAATAATGAAGAATCATTTCTATTTTTTGAGGACAAGTTGCCACGCTTTCTACACATCCATTCAGGTAACATAACTCAATTTCTTGGTTGTGCAGACTTCTTTTATTTATTTATTTATTTGAGATCCCATTTTGTTTGTTGAAACTATTATTTATTAATCTTTTTATTTATTAATTTTGTAAGAAAAAGACAATAATAATCTACTTTGTAAATGCATAAACTCTTAAAATCATACTAATAATAATAATCTTAAGAACACGACATAATATTTTACCTTAGAAACTTTATAAAGGCCAGGCCTTATCTCATCGGCAACGGACCGACCCAAAGCCACTTGCATAACTTTGTTTGAGCCAAGAAAGAATCTGAACAAAATAATCAACAATGAAAAGGCATTAATTTGCTTACACGACAATGTACTGAACTAAAACTATGAAAAAAAAATTAATTAGCTGACCGGCTGGTAGGTTTGAGCTGATCTCTAAACTCTTTGAACTTGAGATTTCTCATATTCTCAAAAGAGAAAACATAAATGGAGTTGTAATTTTCCACGGTTTCTCTTATCGAATTCACGATCAATTCTTTGTGTTCTCTCCCTTTCTTCTTCGTCTTTGACAAAGTGACAGCAATTCATTCATTATAAACATTACATCAAAATTACATAAAATTTTACGTTACAGAAGAACGACACAAAGCCTACATGCTCGGTCATGCTTCGACTTCGGCATGTCGTTAACGGCTGAAACGGCTGCGTCTTCACTGCTATTCTCTTTGCGTTTAGGATTTTAAGAAGTCTTGCAACTGTCCTGAGGTTTTGGGTCTTAAGAAATAAAGAAAATTTTGAATTATGATAAAAAGAAGAAAATTAATATAAAGAATGGGCTTGAGATATATATCAACTAAATACACCCCTAGATAATTTGAAGTGTCCAAGCCCATTCAGCTAAAGACACCCAACGATATTTTAAAGTGTAAACTTAATTAATTAAATAGTGGTGTTATTTAAGCCCACTAAATCTCTTTCTAAACCTCTAATTAAATAAGATTTATTAGATAAAATTATACATGATGTATTTAATAAATCTACTCTTATTACAAAAAAAGCCTTATCATTTTCCCTTTTTATTTTCTTCCTTATTGATGTAGAGATTTACACCAACCTAAAGTAGAATCACGTAAGATGTGTGCGCGATCCCCGTGGATCAGCAGTAGAAACAATATGAAAGCAAATATGCAAAAGCTAACACAAAAGAACAAAGGATCAAAACACTTTTTAAAGTGATTTGGCTGCTTGTAATGCTTATTGAATGGAATGTGATTTACCAAGAGTTAGCAATTTGCTTTTTACGACTAGTTTTTTTCTCCATAAACAGATTGTAACTTACAGGTTGAGTTGGAGATGAACTTAAATTTGAATAAATGAGAAGTTGTGCGATCTTTGGCCTTAATTATGAAATCCAATTTGCATGCCAAATGGGGTTTTTTCCTCACACAACATTCCCTTTTTATCAAGTTTTAAAGAAAAAAAATAAAAAAACTATTTCCAAATACATGTAGAGATTCAATATTCTTATTTGTTCGATTCTATTTCAATCTGTTACAATTCTTCAAGGCTGACAATAGGTGGCCTTTGCCACTTGACTCAGTCGGTGTCACCGCCACCAATATCCGAGTCTTCTGGTTCTCCATATCGAATTAACTCACTCAATAAATGAGTAACTTATTGAGTCAACTTGCTCTTTCTCTCTCTCTCTCTCCCCTCTCTCCTCTCTCTTTTCTTCTTCTTCTTCTTCTTCTTCTTAATTTTCTTGCTCAGGTTTGATATTAATGCTTCTTGATTGTTCTACAAATTAATGAAGAAGCAGTGATTTATATAGAGGCGTGCTTAGAGTAATTGTGAACGACCAACCCACCAACTTCAGTTTAAAAAGCAATGGGTGTATAATGTGCTTCTTCGGGTTATTTGTAACTTCCGAGAATAGCCTTCTTGGACCTCTTGGTCATCATAGAGATATTATACAAACAAAGCTTGGGCGGTCTGAAGCCTTAAATTTCAATAAGGTTTTGCATATATAAATTTCATATTCCTTATCGATGACCAACACAACATCTAACTAGAAGAATTCAAATTTGAGATTCATATACCTTAACCACACATCTTAACGCTCGTCCGTAATTGAGTTACCCAATGGTGGATATGTATCAACACCATATTGTTTGTAATATATATACTAAATAATGTCATATTGATACGTAAAACACTGCATTAATAATTCGTTTAAATCTTAAAACATCAAGTTTTGCTACATCAATCATTGTTAGCCTTTCTTCTACAGATATACAGCACATTTAAACTAAATAAAACTCATCACCCTTTTCACAACCCGAATAATCAGTTATTTTATGTCCGGTCAAAAGCACAAATAGCAGTGCACCGAAGCAAAAACACATCACACTTCTCATTGAAACAGCCTTGGGTAGTCACATACTCAAGAGCAACAAATCCCATTATTCCTCTTTCGGCGTCTTTTATGTGAGCCTCGCCTTCAAGAATAGACACAAATAGCGAAAAATCATATAATTTAGCAACATTTTGTTCGTCGATTAAGATATTCCACGGTTTTATAATTTTGAAAATAATAGGTTTGGGGAACCTAAAGTGAAGATATGCAATAGCATTAGCTATTTCCACTGCTATCTTTAACCTATTTGTAAATTGTAAGGGCTTGAAATGGGGATGAGAGGGACGATAAATACAATCAGCAAGAGTTCTGTAATCTACTGATTCAAAAACTAAAATAGGAATTTCAGTCTCTAAACAACATCTGATCAACTTCAAAATACTATTGTGATTCATGTGTGACGCAAATAAGATGTTGAGACAATACATATATGTTTCAAAGAAGTCGTCAAATTTCATAACGGAAACTTGGCGGTCCTATAAAACCTCATCATACAATCTATAGCCAAATCCATTGAATATAATTTTTCCCTCATGGAAGTTCTTTGTGGCTCTCTTGAGCTCTTCAATGGAGACAACACGAAAAGGATTAAACCTACCATTACCAAAGGCAATTAATTTTTCTACCAAGATTTTCCCATTCTTCATTACAAATGCCTTCTTCTTTGCCTTTCGCTGATACTTGTTTGTTTTAAAGCACCAAATCATCTAACCTATAAACAAAACCCCAAAAGTATTAGAAATCATCTGCCACCTCCCTTCACATTTCATAACCATGTTGATTTTGACTGTTAGATTTCATGGTTAAAGGGAGATAAGTGATNGTTGCTTGGTTAAGTTGTTGTGATTGACATGTGAATCAGTGTTCACTTTGGTTGTTTATACCTTCGTTTTCGAAATATTTTAATGATATTGTTGAGTAAAATGAATTTTAGGCTCAATTGAAATTTTTTATTTTATATATAAATATATATATGAAAATCTTTTGGATGCGGAAATGCTGATTTTTTTGTAAAACATTTGCAAATTCCTTGGGCAAGAAATTTGTAAAATCTTTAATTATATCTCTAACTAATGTTTAAGTTGACTTGCTGGAACCGTTAATAGTTCTACATCATATTCTAAAAACATAAAACAGTAGTTCAGATCTGGTATGCTATTGTCTACAAATTAAATTTTGACAATTTTGAATTGTACTGCTAATCCTAATATTTGTAATTAATTGGATAAAAAAAATTAATTTTTTGTCATAATAAATATAAATGCATTTGATTATTAAAAATGATGACATCACTAGTCGGACCAGTTCAACTGATCAACCTGGGACTCGACCACTTTGCTGGGTTTCACCTCGGGTTAGTTATTAAAACATTAATACCAATAATGAATATTAATTTGGTAGCACAAACCATACATAACTTAGTATTTATTTATTATAATAATTATTTTAATTTTCAAAAATTACATAATCTTAACTGTAGAACTAGTACCGTTTTCGATCACTGTGAAATCGAGTAAATGGATTAACATCTCAAGCATTTTTGAGCTCCCACTTAGTCACTTTGTGCTCCCTGTAGTCATAGATAAAATTTTTATTATTGTCTCCCTTTTACCATTATGAAATCCAACGAGTGGACTTTCGGTATTTTTGAACTCGCATCCAGCCGATTTTCAACTGCTCCAACATCTTTGAACC